GCCACACCACACGTGTTTGGTACCAAGTAGGCCATCTCGAAGAGTTGAAAGGCTTGGCTATCTCAAGGGAATTAACGACCACGTCTTGATCTCTTAATCATACGTGGTACGGTACGGTACAGCTTTCAGTCACATTCTTGGTAAAAATGGTAACTTGTTTCCAACAGATGTTGGAGTTGTACATTGATCTATTCCTCGTCATACGTCTGACTTTCAGTTGTGATCGTGAGAAGATTCCATCCACAGTTAACGTCTTTCCCGTCCGATGGATCTTCAATACACCCTTATCTCCTCAGTATTAGAATTATCAAAAGAAAGTGGGACCTGCGTGACTGTCATAGAACTAAATGTGGGAAATAGAGTTTTCGCGCAGTAACCTTATGCTGGATCACTGAATTGTTCTCTTCCACTCCCAACGTGTACATTCATTACGGTTTGCTAGGCTCAAAGTCAGCATTATGTAATGCTAAAAATCAGTTACTTTGGCGAAATTTTCAACCAGCGCGATTTGCCCCTTTAATGTTGCTGGGTCAAGCTCTTAGCGTGAAAACTCTAAAATAACCACACAAATAATGTTGAAGTCGTTGCAAAGGGAAGTTCCAGCATTGGAGGCAGTCGAGACAACCTGCAGAAAAGGAATCCTCTTCGCATCCTAGGAGAATTCGAGGGAGTGATTACATTCATGGTCGTGATTTATTAGTGCGCATAATTTTCTTAGCGAAACGATTCGCTATAGGGGTCTACATCTGGGCCCTCGAGATCAGCTTATCACCTCTTTATCGGCCAAAGGCAATAATTGGCTATTCCATTCAAGGTACTCATGAGTGGTCGCGAATCCTTCTCTGCTGATAATTGCCCTAGTATATATGCATTATTCCTGGAGTTCAGTTTTTATCTGACAAGTGCGTAGGAAAGAACTCAGCATACGCTTTTTCCACCTCTTCCTCGTAAGTACCACACCGTTAGGTGAGCCAAATTTGAAAGCAACATACAGCAAGCTCTTGGGCAGCTCGGGAAATATTAGGTTGATGCATAATTATTGCGGATTCTTTTCAACAAATTTCATTTAACGAAACGATAAAAATACTGTACAAAAACGTGTTCAAATAATTACTCCGGAACTCATCCACCATCCACGACAAGCACTGCTTCCCACTGGCTAGATAGTCGGATTCCAAAAGCGACGAAGTTTTAATCTTTGGGGCCGATCCACGCCTTGACATCGGCCATCAATTCATCAAAATCGACGGAAGTTTATTCTTTAGCCATTTTTTCAGTGAACGGTTGACGAGATAATCCATAGAAGTTTCTGCTTGTGAATATTGCAGATTTAGAGCAGATATCACTTTTTGGTTGTTTTTTTTTTNATTATTCCTGGAGTTCAGTTTTATCTGACAAGTGCGTAGGAAAGAACTCGGCATACGCTTTTTCCACCTCTTCCTTGTAAGTACGACACCGTTATCTCAGCCAAAAACTTGAAAGCAACATACAGCAAGCTCTTGGGCAGCTCGGGAAATATTAGGTTGAGGCATAATTANTTTTTTTTTTCGGCTGATTGTTCCATCGCCGATAAGTTACTGAGATCGCGGAATGACTCTGCCACCTTCCAACTTTTCTCGAAGTAGTAGAGCCTAATTTCGCAAATATGCGGATGGTTTCCTAAGTGAAGTTTTGAGGAGGAAATCAAGCAGATCATTTCTAGAAAAAGCCCGAACTCAGTATTCAAATTCTATCGAGAGAAAAAAAAGCCGCAAAAAAAAACCGCAATACTTATTCATCAACCCAATATTTAGATGAGGGAGAAAGGGTGAAGGTGGTCATATGGATAAGCAACACTTTTCAGATTGGAACTATGCATGGCCCTTGTTTTTCTAACAATCTGAGCTTGGGTGATGGTGGAAAATCTGAAAATCTGAACAATGCCACAGGTAAAAAACAACTCTCTTTGGGTCAGAGAACAAGAGACATAATTGATACTGACAGCTGAGAGTTTATGTAAAGAACACACGTTTCCCGGCTTGTTTTAATGGCCCCGTCACCTCACCTTCTCAAACAGGCTCTGAAAATTGAGCCCTATTTCATGGAACTCTGGTGGACTCTTCTTCTTCCCAAAAAAAGGCAGTGGACTAGCCCACTTAGTTTCTCTCCTTCAATCCAAATATCTCACCCGTACTGCTTTTCATGATAGTAATTACCTTCGTGATTGTAGAACTCTTTCACATCACGAACCCTTGTCGACTTGATGGCTCGCAGCCCTACTGTTGCTCTACGATGAGTTTTAGACACATATATCTCACCACAGGTTATAGGACGTGACCAGCGGTCTCCATCTGGCGAGGATTTCCTCCTACTCATAACCTAAGGCAGATCTACAGTGCTAACAGTATATAGAGCTCCATGGCTACAACACGAAATGAGTTGTTGGCTTTGATTTTATGGCATCTAGTAAGTTCTCAGGCGGGCATTCTGCTCCCTGTTCAACTCATCCACTATGGGCAATCTACTGACGAGAAAATAGCTGTGCATTTCCGGTCATTTTCGGCCTTTTCATTGGCTTGTTGATCCCACAACAGGCTTGCTGCCTCCGGACGTCTATTAGTTAGATTAAGCAATTAAGTTCCTTGCTGACCTCCTTACTCTTTCACGTCAACGAAAACTAAGTCACTGGTGTAGTAAGCAATTGGGAAGAGATGGACATCTTCATTGAGTCAAGCTACACTTTTCCATGAACAAACGAGGTGTGGGGGCCCAAACGACGAAACGAGTCTCATCGTTCCCAGCAACGTTCTGGTGCCAGTGCCGATCAGGGCCTCACGCAGGTCCTGCATAGTCCATTAAACCACTCAGTCTCTGCAGACCCCCGCTACTCAACAAATGGTTCGCATCAGAATTGTCCCCTTGAAATCACTCATTGTGCCCCACTTTTTTCTGACTGGCGAGGATTCCAGCTTAACAGACAGCTGTCGTACCATGCAATGCTGCAGAGCGTTCTTTCGCTCGTTTCCGTTTCGCATAGCGAAACACATGCCAATTACCTAAGTGGGCGCGATCTCCCGGAAAAGTGCATTTGCATGTAACTCTCCAAGTGAGCTGTTGACTTTCTTTCGGCGAGGAAAACGACAAAATCAAATTATTTTGAGCAAGTGTAAAGCTAAACTTGAAAGTCGGACAAACCGTGAAATGTTGAAAAAAGGTCGTTTCAAATCGGTTCCAAACTTTTAGAAATCCAGCAGTATAAATGTCACAATAGGCTCAATTTAGGCAGAACACAGGAAAGCGGGCAGCAATGCCGAGAGTTTAGCAGGAGGCTTTTTCGTGACGTCTTTAGATATCGCCCAGAATCTCGTCCATTCCATCAACAAATGCTTGACTCATCATGGAAATTCCCCGATAATCTATTGTAATATGTAATGCTTTCACCCTCGGCTTTGAAGTACAAAGGTTCAAAGTACAAGCATGAAGATTGATATGTCAACCAAAATTTTAGCAAAACCATCATCGGGCCCTTATAAGACTTAGGCCGAAGTTCGAATACCATTGACCCATGTTGCTCCTCAAGCGCACTTCCTAGTCTGGAAGATAAGATGCTCAATTGGAGGTGGTCAGAATGTTTCAGGACATTGTGATGAGAAAGTAAATCGCTCCCAGTTCATTTAATCGGACATTGAGCACGTCTTATGCAAAATGAATTCAGTAGTTCCTAAAAATCGCCGGCGGAGGCGGGCATATACATACATATGTATAAGAGAATGCAATATTTTCGTGGCTGAAGGGCAGAATTCGGAATAATCGTTATCATAGGATGAAAAGCCCCTAAAAATAGCAGGATAAGGTCTATGAGCAAGCTCTTCTGCATGGAAATTTAGATAGGTTTGTAATATAGCTGTCGGAACATCGTTCTGCTCAATACGTTAACCCGGAAATGACCCATTAAAGATTTCGGTTTGGGCTCCTTCCCAAAAACTGAATAGTTACAAGTGTTTTCGGGTTGTGGCTTGAAAGAGCAGCATGAACATCCGGTTGCCAAGAACTTTGAGAATTTACGTAATGAAGGCAGTTGTGGACAGCGTCGAGTGTAGCGGTTCAGACTCCCTAATCCAATAACGCGCTTGTTGAGCTCATTATCGTAAACGTGACGGGATCAGCCACCACTGCACAACCATCCCGAGTCAAGAGCATGCAAAAAAGTGACAAAAAAGACATGGAAAAAAAGCGAATTCGCCAAAGCGAAGTAATTCGTTTAAAGTGGTGCCTACACTCGAAAATGCATACACTCCCGTTTCTAGGCATGGTATCCCGTGAATAAGTAATCAGCGTAGCTGTCAGTAGTGCCAACGAGAACCACGTGACCGGGATATACAACTTATTTTACGAGGCTGAAGTAAACAATTTCATACAATTATATTTTAATATGTACACTTAATTATAAAAACACTCCTAATGAGAATCTGAGTAGAATCATCAATAAACATGAGATCAAATAGCTCAAAGTAAAAGGGTAAACAAAAAAATAAAAACCCCGTCTGTATGTTCTAAACAAGCGATACTCGATAACTAAGCGATAATTTCATAGTCCTGTTCGCCTGGGAAGTACCACTTTAACAACCGTCTAATAGGAGGTTGAACAAGATTCAGAACGGTGACGAAGACAACCATAAGCAGAAGACCAGCAACAATGAGCAGGAGATATGAGTTGATGACGTGAGGTTCCATCAGTATCACAAGCGTCGGCCTTCTTGAGAAAGCCTGAAACGACATAACTTGAGTTGTCCTCGGGGAACTGCCCAAAAAACCCTGTTCTGGAAATTGATGGGACTTCCATAAAAGCCCACATATCAACCAGAAAACAATGAAGAATAGCCCTAGAATGGGGAGTCGCCCAGGCTCCCTATTCTTCGATACTTTTCTGTTAAACAATCCCTGGTCGAAAGGACTGCCCTGCCTCCCTGAATAAACCTTGTTCACACACGCCATCACCTCTCATCATCATCACGCCCTTCCTGCGGACCTCGAAAAAAAAAACTACGGTAATTCGCCGTCTTTGTTACCACAAACGGAACATAGGAGAATGTGAAAAGGTAAGAGACAACAGAGTACGTACCACTACCTCGAACGGTAATGAGGATCGGTGGAAGGAGTGCTGTTCCAGGAGAGAGTGCCGATGTGAGGAACCACCGGCCTTGGTGGAGGGTCACTCCTGGCAACGCGCCAGTCCTGGCCCCGCCCCTCATCCGACGGTCACCATCGCGTTCGGTGTTTGTGATCGATCGGCTCTCAGGTGCTCCTCACCTGTGCATGACTCATTCCATCTACGGGAATTCGATCCTGCACACTGCCTGGACCCGTCTGGTGCCCTTGAGCACGAAACTCCGGCCACAAATGTGCTTTTGAAGATGCACCGGACCATTTTGCTGATATTCTCTCTCGCCCTTCTGGGCACCGTCTCGGCTCAGGGTCAAGTTGTCATTGACCCCGGTCTGGAGCAAGCCCGGCAGCCGATTCGAAATATCCTCGGAGGTGTCTACTCTAATAACATCACACTATTCTTTCGTAATTCACCCTATAGGGTTACAAGTGATCTTACTGTCGAGCACGGCGCAACACTGACGATCGAGACAGGTGTACAGATTTATTTTGACACCGGCGTTGGATTGCGAGTTAAGGGCGCTCTTCAGGCCATCGTGAGTTCCGCTTTTTCTTTGGCTTGTTTTCTTTTATTTTTCCGAATATGCTCTGTCTTTCATAGTGATTTCTTCTTCACTGCCCATTTCGGATCTCTAACGTCTTCTGTTGATTCTTATCGATCGATGGTTTTTCTGATGACTAAGGCCGGCGTTGTTTGCCGAGGATTGTACTGTGGCGCTTGTGTTAGCGACAGCGATAAGCATGAGAAAGCATTCTTCATTTGTACCCTCATAGGTCAGGAAGAGGGTGTTAGAAGCAGCAAGGCGCAGGCCCCCCCAAAGAACAAAAGAATCAAGCTAGATGTAGGCTTATTTGGGCTCAAATACATGGCTAAAATTTCTTGAGAGTAAAGAAGGCGGAAGGAATAAAGTCATCTATTATTCTGAAAGAATTCTTGGGAAGTTGAGCAGTTTCTGGGAGACCTGGCTGTGCTTTTTGGAGGAAACTGATTTACCTCCCTCATTGGCATGTCATAAAAGGCCTCACTTCGATTCCTTCGTTTGAGCGGAAGGATTTCTGAACACTTTTTGCCCTTACTTCTTGTTCCGCTTTTACCACGCTTTTCTGGAAGGCCAAGGGGCATAAATCTCTCGGCCCTCCCTTCAAAAATCCGTGGCTACATGCGCTTTTGCCTCTGTAACGATGAATCCTCTTCATCAAGCAGTTTCGCGACAATTCGAGGGAGATTCAGAGATTCCCCTTGTATCTTCTTTTCAAGTCTTGCAGTCCATTAAAGTTGAAAATATCCATCCCTCGTCCATGATTCTTTGATCAAAGCTTCAAGGGTCCGATTAGATTCCAATTCAGATAAGCGAGGCTAGGGAACCGGGATGATCGGATTGCAGCGGTATGCGTGGTTCCCTCGTGTTCCCTGTTATGTACTCTTCTTACGGCCGAGTCATCTGAGCTTTGTTTGCTCTCCCATCGTTTGCCTTCACCTTTCACTTCATACGGGTGTAACACTTAATAAAACAGACAATTGACAGAGGTTTCGCAGAGGACCATTAGGCATACAGGGAAATAATGGGTAATTGTATTGTGAAGAATATCCCGATTACTTTCATTATAGGCTTTCGAACTTTTTGCTCTTCCCTTTGAGTTTCTTACAACAAATCTTCCTTCAGGCGCCTAACAAGTGTACATGGGTTTTATGAGATTCTGAGCCAGTTTCGGGAAATGATCTTTGACACATTTACATTCCGATTTTATCGCCTTCTGGCTCTCACATCAATAAATTCGAATGGTCAGAGCTTATTGTGGGAGGGAGGCGATAGATAGTTCTTTGGTTTCTTCTTTGGAACAATTGTACTGTAAAGAGTATCTCGATATCTTTCATGGTAGGCATGCAATTTTTTTGCTCTTCCTTCCGAGATTTTCACAACAATGCTTCCGTCAAATGGGGAGCAAGGGTGACCCCGGTCTCATGAGATTCTCAGCCAGTTTCAGGAGAAGAAATTTGAAACATTTGTTTTCCGATTTCAACATCATAGTTCGGGCAAAAAATTCGAATGTTCAGAGCTTGCCGTGGAAGGACTGCGACACATGGTTCTATGGCTATGGCTAGCTTCACTGATAGGTGTTTGATCAATGCCCTACCGGTTATGATTCATTCATTCGATTCGTCACCGCCCATGAATGATAGCAGTCAGACAAATCTGCTTGTGGGAGGAAGGGGGGGGGGGGGGATGAATCAGTAAATGGAATCGAAAAGGTTTCTTACACGAACTTTCACCTTACTCAGGTTTCCTACTTATCTCGATAACAAGGAACTAGACAACTGGCTTTTTTTGTCTTGGAATTCACTAGCTATGAGGTAGAATCACCGCCACTCGGCGCGGCCTTGGTTATTCCAATGCCATTGAAGAATGGCGAGATTATGAGTTCATTCCCAGATCGTTACTATGTGTAATGTTGTAGAGCAAGAACACAGCATCGACTCCGACCAATTATAATCGGTACTATCGCATTGAATCCGTCTTAAACGGAAGTCGGAATGCGTGGGCGCATCTCCCGGACGGGACTGTCTGAAGTCCTCAGACTTGAGACTTTTATCTTTCGCATTGTAAACAGTAAACCTTCAACCTTTCACTATGTACTGAATTGTCGTGGGGTCCTGATAAGATAACGGGGTGTTTCTGAACAAAAAAGCTTGCAGAGTATTGTTCGGTAGTATCCAGTATGGGAGTTATCATAATATTCAGGAAATGCCTATTTAGTTGAGAATTCATTTATAATATACCCAATGGAAAATGAATCATAATATGTGCTCCGTTTTATTTCCCTTCATACGTACACCTCTAATAGTACGACAACGAATTTCTTTTTTGCAAAAAGGTACTTGCCGCTCTAAAACTACTTCCTGTTTGCGGAGTAGCCGAATTTAGCTAGGGTTTGACGTCCTGCTTTTTTTTGTCTAGTTCCCATAAATATATCCAATAATGTTGCTATAGCTTAAGTGACAGCATACTTTAGAAAAAAGAGGCGGTCAGTCTTGTTTACATTGGTAGGCAGTCTTATTAGCTATAGTGTAAGTGGCTACCGACACTTTCCGCTAAAAATAGTCAACTGGTTCAATCCTTCTTGTTTCCTTTCTTTGCATTCGAATAGACTGTGTGACCTCGAAAGAATGCTACCTTGATAGTTTTCGGGCTTTGTATCGGGTAACCTAGCGGTGGACAATTTCTCGACTTGAAAGATGAGTGTTGTCTCATCAGCGCATTCTCAACTGGTGCCACATACTTCTCTCATATCTTTGGTAATATGCGACCCCTAGGGATCGGTTGTCATATTCCCCATTGGTGGCCCCAAAATACCACGAGAATCACGGTCCTCGGAAGGCTTCAAAAGAAAAGGTCAAGGATCTGATAAGTTTCGGTGTGGAAGTGGCCTATGCAAGAAATCGGGGAAAGGGGAATGGGGCAGGCTCGCTAGCCAACTTAATACTATTACCTTCATTACTGCTCTTGTGACAGTTGAGACTCCGACTGGGTGACCTGGGTAAGCAACGATTTGCAACAACCCGAGTTATGAGTGTAGTTATGCACCAATTGGTACCACCACACATTCGCTCTGAATGAAAGGTCATTAATTGGTCAATTTATTCGAAAAATTCAGTTTCTTGCAAAGGTGATGGGGAGGAGAATCAGTGGCTTTGTTTCGATTGAAACTTCTGCAGAGTAGAACATAGAAAAATTGGAAGCAAGCCGATCATCAGTAAATAAAAACAACTTGTTACTGTCACAAAAGAAACTATATGAAGGTAAATTCTGTACTAAGTTTATCGCGAGCTCTGCATCAACATGGAATTCCACCAAGCATGATTTCACATAGCAAAGGAGCAATAGGTTAGGAAAGGATGAGCGGGCCTAGGAAAGTAGGCCGGGGAGCAGGGTTAAGCATGACGCATTATGGAAAATTGTTCTATAATCCGGGGTATGACGTTCCCATAATTGGGTACTCACATCCTTCCAATACCAATCCTGCTGCGCTCTCTTCCTCAAATTTCCATATATCGTAGTGGCTATGGGTTCGAATCCCGGTTCGATATCCGCCCAGGCCAACCCAGTCTTCCATCCCTTCGCGGGTCGGTTAATTGGTACCAGACTCGTCTAGGAGGATCAAAACACTGATTTGTACACGGGTTGGCCACCAAGTCATTGTATAGGCCGCATACGCATTCAATAAGCCACTACGATTCTGAATAAAGGTTGAATGCGTGGATGCATCCCTCTGAAGCTCCAGGACTTTAGACTTTGTTGCTTTTGTTAAATGTCATTCATTCATCATATGGTTCAGTTGTGGGTGGAGAGCTTGTTGAAGCGGAGAGCGGAGACCTTTATGAGCAGTAAGCTCAAGTTTAAAGCATTTCTTTCTGGGCTATGATTCCACTTGAACGAATCTCCTTCTGCACGTGAACCGCTCCAGTAGCCAGCATTCTCTTCAATTTAGTGTGATCAGCAAAGTAATGATACTTTCTATGCAACTGAGTCTATCTTCAAAGTTTTTGTCGATATGAATTTTCTCAAGAAGTAAGAATCTTTAATACATTTTTCTTAAGAGAATGCCAAATCATGGATTAATACCACCGTTTAAAATCAGCAGCGCTCTGGACCTCCTCCACTTTCAAAAGACAGAAGCCTTGCCATTTTTAGGGAAATGAATTTGCTCACATTCAAATGCTGCCTTACCAGCAACAACTCAACTATGACGACTCCTTTCCAAAGTTTCGTCTCATCGACGGCGATACCGTTAGAGACGGACGGCTTCAGGTATTATTCAGAGATCGGTGGCGATCCGTCTGCACCATGGTCACTAAGTACGTTCTGATAGATTTTCGCCTCTATGTACTGAATGCAGTGCAAGCGTATTCTTTTCAGTTGGACAAGTATCGACACCACGGTGGCTTGTAAATCCATGGGATACAGTGATGGCGGTGAGTTTTGTGCTTTGGTTTTTCCAAAAGCAACCTCCACTAAAGTGAATTTGCTGTGTACTTATTCTGATAATCGACATGAGCGCAATTGTTTGCATAAACCAGTGCAGAGGGAGGCACGTTTCATTAAGCACTAGCCCATATGGGGGGGGGGGGAGCAGCAAAAGATTTCGTCACGAGGTGTTCGTGTCTCCTAGACTCGAGAGAAGGAAAGGGGTATCAACGAAAACTCAGGAATGGTGGTAGCTGTACTAGTTTTGCGGTTCATTTTCGGGTCTTCTACCGTTTTCTAAGAGATTGTCTTTCGGAAACCCTAGTTTGAATCTCATAACGTTGCCTACTCCCGAAAAAAAAAAAACATCAATTTTTCAGGCTTCTACAAATGGCATCTACGCAACAATGACACCTACGCATTCGTGCTACCACGTCCCGATTGCCATCCAGGAGCTAGTAGTCTCTGGGATTGTCCTGGACTGGCCGATCCGAATGCCATTCGTCTGAGTGAAAATCTTTGCCAAGGAGAAGATGATCTTGGTCTCATCTGTTGGGGTCCACCGATATTCCAAGGATGGGCTCGGCATTGGAAAGGTGCGTATATGCATTCAATTTTTTCTTTGAACTCCATTAGAACATTTTCTTTACTACAATTTTTTGTGATTTATTTTGTGATTTATTGTTCTCTGAAAAACCGATCGGCTTCAGAAGCAGAGAAGCCATATTGGCTTTGCGCTTTTTGTGTTGAATTTTGAAATTGATACTTTTATTTGTTTCCGCACAAATTCGATTATAATGAAACCAATAAAACGGAGCCAACCAATTACGAGAGCAGCTTGAGATTCCCATGGGAGTTTCACACACAGTCCGCTAGACTCTAAGAAACCTGTTTAAAAGTAATTTTTCACAACCTGAGCCAATTATATCTGTTAAATATTAATTGTCTTTAACCTTCACAGTTGTTTTCCTCATCCCTATGATCCCTGGTAAGGTTGCGATGGGAACACTGGAAACATTTAGGTGAGTTATAAGGCTCTGAAGACGCTAATGTCATGCAGAATACAGAGACGAGCAGTGGTGGGGCACAGCTGACATTGCACGGATAATTCCGTTTATTTTATCTCTGCGGGTTCTGAATGCCCTTTGTGAAAGCCTAACATGCCTCTCCAACTTGGAGTTTCCTATTCTTTAGTAGTCAGTCATTACTGCAACTTCCGCACAAACACAATATCTCTGCTCGTTACAAATTGACGTTTTTGAAAGCCCAAGCCTTGAAAAGCTTGGCGAGTAGCTCTTTCTTACAAGATCTAGAGAATGTAAATGATAGATTTCTTCACAAAGACAGGGAGAGTATGAACTAGAGCGGCACTTTTCTGTTGGTTCTTTCTATTGACGAAAATGGGTCCCTATTCAAAAGTCTAGTGACAATTCCATAACGCGTTTAAATGTTGTCCTTGGCAATAAGTCTGTTTACAATTGCTGCTGAAAATATAGCACTTTCATCATTCGTGTAGGGCTCATTCCTAATGTGAGGGAATATGCCGCTCATCATCAAAAACCCATGCTTACACTTTTTGGAGATAAAATCCCCATTTAAGTCTGGATCCTACTTGGCTCTCGAGTAGGACTCCAGGGATTTTCTTAGAAAACGATTTATCGTGTGTACACAAAATCTGAATTGCAGTTTTCGGGCTATGTACTTATTTATTTGTTCAATACACCCAAAGTTGAGCCATACGGCACAAAAGCAGAAGCATTGAGGTAACGCTTCCGTGTCAAAACTGGGAAGAGCAGGAAGAATTTGAAATATGTACTATAGGAAAAAAGCTAAAAAGATGAAAAGGAAAAGATGCCTCACTAAAGAAAGGAAATAAAGGGAAAGGGAGAAAAATAAGCATTGAGGTGTTAGGAGCATCAGGGGTATCACACTCGGACATTACATGCGTGTACTGGTCTCGATGCAGAACGCATGAAGATGCATCAGAACTGGAGCTTCCTGACAATTTACGAATTCGCCCGAGACTAATGAGAGTAGTCCAAGGAGACCTTGGGGTTTGTCGTCTTACAGGTCCTCAAACAGCTGATCACACATAAAAATCAAGGCCACAGCCTCATCAAAAGCCTACACCGCTCAGGCAACTTATTGCTTTAGCAAGAGCAGGACAATTAGTAAAGCAATAGTAAAATAAAGAAAAGAAATGATACTTGACCTGTAACAATTCATGGCGGTAACAACTGCTACAAATGGAAATACTGCCTAGGATAGAGTATTGGAAAAAGGAGTAGGACCATGGTCGGAGAGTAAGATTTACGTAGGCTGCCTTTTATATTTCGGGATTTGAGAACAGGAACAAATACTATTTGTTGAAAATCGCTTGACTGCCTTTCAAAATTCTCCACATTAAGATCTATACACTTTTGTATGGGCTCGAACCAATTTTCGAAGCATTTTTGCCACTCTGATGTAGGTAACTCTAAAACATGGGTTCTAAACTCATCAACGGCTTCTTCGGGTGTCTAAAAAAGTTGTCCTCTCATTTTATTTCTTACGTACGGGATGAGAAGAAGTACCCGGGGACTACATGGCTGATGACCTGCCAAATCGTTGTTTTGAGTGCTCAAAAATGCGGTTGTTTGAGCTGATGTGTTGGAGCTCGCATTGACGTGGCGTGGGATCCAACGCCAACAAATTTTTTTACAGTCAAATGTTCATGCAAAATTGTATGTGAGGTAGTCCCACTAATGCTTAAGGTTGCCTCAATCTCACGGTAGGTTACATGACGATCTCGCAGTATTATTTTGTG